CTTGAGCTAGACAGTTTAATGAAGGGTATGCTTTTTTCCCAGATGACATAAGGGGTAACAAGCATGTTCTTTTCCTTCTAGTTTCCTTGATTTATAACAAACCTTTCTCAGCACTGATATTTAACTTCCACATGCCAACATTTGACCAAGAGGTTGGTTTCCTTATTTAGTGAGCTGTTGGGGTATCAGTGTGTCTGAAGGCTCTGTCTACTGAGTATTTCCTCCTCGTTTTGCATTGTTAGACAATCGAATCTGCAGGGAAGGACCCAGTCTAACATGGTTTTGATTGTTGCGGAGGTCTCGGATGAGACGGAAGAGGTTTGCTTCACCCACATGCGCACTTGCAAGTGAGAGATTACGGATGTTACCTGTTGAGGGATGTGATGAAAAGTCCACAGTTTGGGATATTCTACTCGGCTAATGTGCGCATGAGACCATGCTCTGAATTAAAACGGTCCTGCACTGGCTGTGGGCTAATCGTGTGGCCATCTACCTGATTTCCACCTCCAGAGGCTGAGTACGGGCTACAAAACAACATTGGATTTTTTAGGGCCTCTTTTGGACATTTTTAACACTGTATGAACGTAGTGTCGTGATGGATTCAGATTGTGTTCTCCTACGTGGCGTTCACCTTACTGTCTGTTAAACTGTAATGTGAGAGTTTGCTGCAAAAGACAAATTATTTTCCTTCTCGGAGAATTTCAGAGATACAGTCTTGATTTGTGATGTTGGATACATTGCTTCTCTCTGCAGTTGGCCAGTGGAGGCTTGACGTGCCGGCAGATCCTACTCAGGCTGTGGAATTCCACCAGAGCAGCATGATCCAAAAATCGTTTCCCTGTTGATGCTGCAGATTAGGGGCAGATTCTCTGTGCACGGTTTAGCTGTACTCCAGTGGAAGTATTTCCTGGGTTTTAAGCTTCCTGAGAGCAGAATGAGGTCCAGTGCCTCCTTGAAAACATAGCAGTGGTGAAAGCTGAAAGGTGAATAATGATTCTGTTGCTTCAGACTCTCTGCCTTTCACTAGGAACGTTTTGTGAAAGAGGGAACCTTTATCAAAGAAGCGCACAGATCTTTTTGCATTGTTTTCTTCAGCCGAGTTTCTCAGACAAAACGGTCTCTCGGCACTTGCACAGGAAAGGTGTGAATTACATTTCACACTTCTGTCTAGGAACTGGGAACCATGTAACCTGCCTGTGCTGTTGGTTAAAGCAGCATTAGAAAAGAGGAATCTGGACTGTAAGGTGTTAGTCCAGACTGGCACTGATTGATGATACGGCTTAGAGTAAATTATCTTACCTCCACACCTTGACTCTTCAATCTGAAATATAAATACCTCACCTCAAAGTAGGGGTTTGAGACGTAATTAAAGCTTGTAAGGCACAAATGCACCTATGGAATAAAAGCACCACATATTTTCCAGTAAATAATCCACAACCCTTAAGAAATACCAACATGTGGAAATAATTCCTTGGATAATAAGTAGCCATCTTCATACAGCCTGCACAAAGGCAGGGAGAGTGTCTGGGTACCAGGGACAGTGTATTAGCAGCTTATATAGATAGGGGTTGGGGTTTTTTTGAAGTAATTACTGTCATTTTGGGAAGGCTGAGTATTGATGCTTTAAATACTGTAAGTAGAGATGCATGAGCAATAGAGATCGGCCTTACAGTGAGTGACACATTGATTATGTGGATAACTGGAAATTAATACCTTCTACCACTGAATTACCTTGATCCTGCTTTTCATTTTAGGTGTAGAGTGCTACAGTGTCTAATTTACCAGCAAAAGTTGTGGTGTGGTTTTTTTTTTTTTCATCATGGTTTCAGGCATTTACTGAAAGGATACACTGCGTTGTCCAGAGTCCTCCTTTAGTTGATCCCTTCATCGAACCTTTCCGTCTGTCTGTCCGCGTGATTTAGCTAGTGATGGAGTGGTACTGCTGCAGCCTAATTCAGAGAGCTTTAGGAAGCAAAAATAAAAATCCGTAGCAGTAACACTGCTGTTGCAAGCTGAAATAGTTACTCTGAGTGGTGGAGACATAATTGAAGTGAATTTCATAGGCAAGAGTAGGTACCAGGTTGTCTCTTTGGGGGATATTTTCAGAGGGCAGAAAACTTCTATTTTTTAAAAAACAACAGCTAATTCCTGAAGGGAAGGTGAGGGGGAGAAAGAGAGTATTTTTAAATGTGAAGCTTTCAGAGAGAGTGTTCCTGAATAGCACGCTGTGACTTAACAAACCTGCAGGGGGTCGAAGAAGATGGGAGGATGGGTTCCAGTCCAGATGTGAGGATGTCGGTATATAGAAAGTCTTAAGCTGTGAGACTTAGCAGCATAGTTCATATACATACGAGTGCAGGAAAAAAGGAAACTCAGGGAAGGTAAAAAAGGCAGGATGTGAGACAATGTTTTTAGAGGAGTGGTGGGGAACCAGACGGGATTTTTTTAAAGAAGCAATGGGAGTTGTCAATAAGGCAGAAGGAGAGGGTAGAAGAGGAGAGAAGATAAGAGAAGCATCAGCTAGTTCTGGCAGCAGACCGGGATAATTAGGTAACCATGGGAAGAACAATTTGGGCATCAAGGAGCCTGTTGCTCTCTTTTTGTGGTAGAACTTTCAGTGTGTTTGCTGTCAAGTTTTACACGTGTATCTGTTTAGGCAATATCCATAGCTGACTGACATGTGGCTCTGCGTGTGCCTAAGTGTTTCATTTCAGTATGAAACTCTATGGTTAGTGTCCCAATAAGGAGAAAATTCCCAGATCTTTCTTGGTCAAAACTCCTGGTTCGTTTCTTTTAACAGGACTTTGTAAACGCAGAGAAACTCTGTAGTGCAGCACAAAATCTGTCCCTGTTGAAAGCCTGTTGCAAAAACCGTGCCCTTTGGAAATGATGTCTTTTTATCGATCTTCTGATATTTAGCAGATTTATCCGTTGCTTTGAATTTACCTGTTATCTGTGCATTTTAGGTCAGCCATATCCTTGAGCAGACTGTGTTTCTTTCATGACACTGGTATTTTGGCCATCCTAAGGTCATGGTGTTGAAACAAATATAGTAAGAAATTCAGATTTGGGAGTTCTTAGCAAGATAACATTCCTCGGCAAGATCTTCAGACCTGAGCATTGGAGCATTGAAAGCCTGATAGTGTCTCCCAAGTGAAACAGATCTGATCGATTTCTCATAATCTAGTACTGGAGGGAAAAGTGTACGAAGTAGTGGAGTATAAATAGCAAAAAGCAGTTTTTACATTATTTTGGTCAATGAAAGCTGACCCTAGTTGTCATAAAGTAGGTTCTGTAATTTTAGCCATTTGAGGCTGTACTTAAGCACCTAAATATAAGTGACCTGTTCTTCAGAGGTGCTCAGAAGCAAGGGTGGGTGTAACACAGTGGCAGGATTTGATTAGAGGGGTGATGTGCTCTCAACAGCAGGAGAAAGAAGATTATTTTCCCAGAACTAATCTATGTGGTCTGGAGTGAAGCAAAGTGAGCATCAGGACAGCAGGAAGGGAGGTGTGGATCTGGCTTGGTGTTGATAGGGAGTTGAAATGTACCTCAGTAACTTAGAGATAATCTACTTCTGATTTTGTATTTCTCTGACTCAGAATACGCTAATATTTTTGGGTGTGAGCGTTTTGAAGTTGGGCATGTAAAGTGTTGATTCTTAGGCTGAATGATTTTTCTAGGCTCCCTGTAATTTGTTTAAAAATAAAATTCTGTGGGTGTATATAAAGTGATAGGATTTACATTTGTCTTTCAAGTATTTATATAATCTCTGCATGTGTAAAAATATCACTTCCAGAGTAATGATCATCCTTCTCTTTCTGGACATTCCCCATCAGGGGAAGTTATGGTGTAAATGATGACTTGAAGTAAAGCCAACTGGCTGACTGTGGACGCTGATGTTTGGGCTGGGGCTGTTGGAGGTTACTGTTCCATCCTGGAGGGACATGATAGCTGTGCAAATAAATGGCATTAGGCATAAGTCCCTGGTAAGTGCCTAGGATAAGAGCTGTGTTCCGTGATCCTGCGTCCCACAGTGGAGGAGGAAAATGCTGAGGACCTGCGAAGGACATTCTCTTCCATCAGGGTGCCATGACAGTTCTTCCTCTGCTGTTCCTTCAGCTGGGAGTTGGCTGCCTTGGTTGAGCAGCGCACAAACGTGCCTGGATAGAAGGGAAGTACTCGGCTGTAGGTTGAAATCTTGTTGGCCAGGGCTGCAGGCTTTGATACACGGCCGAGTTACAAGGCCCCAGTGAGATCTCGCATCTGTAGCGGCCCGTTCCCGTGCAGCGTGGTGTCAGTGGCGTCAGCGTGACGCCTGGGACAGGGGAGGCTCGGCTGCGGCCCAGCCGTGTGCAGAAGGCACATGACTGCTGTCGGGCTGGGTGACAGAGGTCATGGGTGGCAAGAGAGAAGAGCTAATTAGTGGTATGGAGCTAATGCCATTTTAGCCTCTCCTCTTGCCCTTCTGTTAAATCCACGTTTGTAGTTAATATTTTATTTTGCAGGAGACAGAGGCCAAGAGATTGCTGCTCAGAAAGTAGGCTGGGATGACAAAAAGCTATGGCTTCTGTTCTTGCAGTGCGGTGCTTATATTTCTGTTTATCTGTAAAGGGTCGCCGTTTGATATTGTAGATGACATAGTTACATCTACACTCATAGCTGGTTTTGACTCCAAGCACATGCCAGAACAGCGATTACAAACCAAAAGTGATTCGGTTGTACAAGGAGCGATCTGCAGCAACTAGGTCAGGCAGTGGCTTCCACAACCATGTTATCATTTGTTCCTGTTAATTCTTTTGCCATGAAAATAGCGCTGGAAATGGCATGGCAGTCACAGGAGTTCAGGCTGAGCTGTTCAAGGTAAGCAGCATACTACATGAGCCTTTCTCAATGTTTTCTGGATTCACAGAAAAGCCCGAGTTCCACATTTTGCACCTACATTTTTCTGTTTTTTCTTTTAAAAGAAAAAATGTTCTTTTTTTTGTTTGTTTTTTTAGTTCCTCCGGGAGTGATACAAAATGGAGCTCGAGTTCTGAGTAGAGGAATATTTCCTGGAGCCAGGCCATTGCCAATCAACCCTATAGGAAGCATGGCTGTTGCAGTAAGGTAAGAGTGGCTCATTGCGGGATCTTTATGAAATAAAGCAGTATTTTGCAGGGAATGTAAAAGAATAGATAAGCTCTGATCAACAGATACTTTGCTGCTTGCTAATACTTCTGAGACTCTAAATGAAATAAAACTCTGCCACCTAGAATTCTTGGTTCATCGTTCTTTGTAAGATAAGACAGGCTCATAGTCATGGCACATCTGACTGTTGCACTCTGGTCTGTGAAAAGCAGTTTTATTTTCACTAGCAAACTGGAGGCAGTTTATGGTGAGAACCTCCTACAGTGACCTGTTTTTCTAAGTGCAAATGCTTTTTCCTGCTCCTCTCTCCCTTTTCCTGAAGACCTTTTTCCTGTATTAAATACCAGTGAGAAGAATATCAAGAATATTAAGAAAATTCTTAAAGATATCTAAACACAGAGCTGTCGTTTTGTTAGTAACTTAGATCTTTCTGAGGCAGTTTCTTTCACTGCAGTTTCTGTTTCAAGGTTATGCTGAAACATTCAAGGGTAAAATGTTGTTTGAAGATGCTGAACTTTTTCAGAAAGCAGGGCAGTAAGAGACATCTAGTGATGGCAATAAGAACTGTGGTTCTGTGGTTTGCTTTACTTAAAGCAGGGATGGTTTATTGTTGGAAGAACACTTTGCCTCAGGTATAGCTCCATTTTCAGTCAGTCACAACAGAGATTAATTTGGTCAAGTGTGCTGCCAGTCCCTTTCCCTTTCAGAACTCCCTGTAGCTGCAAAAGCTCTTTCAGCTCAGGCAGTTGGGTAATCGGGGGGGAGGGGGTGTTCATAATTAGTGCTGACCCCGCTTTGCTGGGCTGTTCCAATTACGCCCTCTGATCTCAGTAAACGGCTGCAAGGCAGTGAAATGAAGTATCTTGATAGCTACTTATTCCATTTTTTTTAGTTGGGATTTTTTTCTCATTTCCTTTTATTTATCCCTTTTCAGAATCAGTGTCTAGCCCTTTGGGTGCATCCAATAAATGGAGAGAGAGAGAACCTCTGACATTCATATACTCTCGATGCTTAAAATGCATAGAGGGGAAGACACTAATTGGAATAAAATCCATATTTTTTGATGGGCAACTGTTTCAGCTGTTTTTCACATTTGCTACGCTGAAGGGATGCAGCCCTGAGGGTCATCCTCCAGGAGGCTGCAGAGTGCCTCTCCATCAGTCTGGCCTTTCTGGCAGTGGAGATCAGCCATCTTCAGTAGCTTCACTGCTGGCTCTAGCCAGTTCTGCTCCGCTGGGGACTGCAGAGCTGTGGGACTACTAGATCATTAATTATATATATTATTTTTACGAGGTGTCCAAGCTAAATGGAAGACAGTGTGGTCTGAATATTCTCGCTTGAGTTTTTCTGAGACCCTGTTTCATAATGAGGGTTGACTCAAGGAGGAGATAGAATTGTTATTCCTTCCAGGCTACTTGAAAATTTCCTTCTGAGTAGCCATCTTCACATTGCTCTGCTGTAAGGCTGAATACAGTTAAAGTTTATGCGTTTTCTGAGGACTTCTTCTCACGTTTTTTTCCCAGCAGGCAGAACAGCATCTTTACCTGCTAATGTAGATTTGGGAAATGAGGGGGTTTACTCCTCTCTTGCTTACAATCTTTTTGTTCTGTCTCGGAGAAAAGCATTTCTAATTAGTTAATGCAGACATTTCTAATTCTTTTTGTTCTCTTCTCAACCCTTAGGCAATATCAGAAATAGCTTGCTATGAGTATATCCCTGGTCTGCATGATGTCTGTTCATATTTAAGGGCTCCCGCAATATGCACTCTTCTAAGTCTTGAAGAGGGGCCAGGGAGAGGAAGAAGAGGCTTTGAAAGCTTTTGAGAAGTTAGTTTTTTTAGCAGGCAGTTTTGGATTGCTGCTCTCAGGGATAACAAGGTTCAGAATTTCTTTAGGAAGGTCACTCTGGATGCACTACGCCTCTTAGAACATCATCTGGTCCTCTTGGAACTGGATGCTTCTGTTACCAGCTACTGTCAAGACGGCACCCTGTTTTGTGGTGCTTACCCCTCTCCGCAGGTACACAGGGCTGAACAGGCCCTGCCGTGTCTGACTTGTGGCATCCGTGCAGCTGCCTTCCGCTGCGGTGAAGAGCAGGAGTGCTGTTCATACAGACCTGTCATTCCTGCATTGAGGGAGACGCTCCTGTCGGTCTGCTGGGGGGTGTTCTCAGACCTGTTCAGGTGCAGGAATGTTGATTTCCCCTTCTAGCTTTCACCAGGAGGGAAGTCTGCTGGGCAGACTGTGTGCAAATAACTTGCGGTACGTTGTCCTGTGTGCAGACTGCCATTAGTGTCAAAACAGAGTAACAAAAAGGTTGATCTTGGCTTAAATTTGCAGTTGTAATTACGTGGAGTATTTTGGCTAATCCAAAGCCATGTCACGGGACTAAGATGCTGAAATCTGTGATTCCTGATGTGTTAGCTCCCATCAGTTGGGAAGTTCACTGCGTTATTCTTCCTCAAGAGTGTGACTGAAAGTATTAGCTTATTTTATTCCAGCACAAGGTGTCGATGTGTTGCTGTTCCCTTGTAATTATTTGTAATTGCTTTATTTTTTATATATAAAGTATGATTGAATTAAGTAGTTTGGATTAGAAAAACCTACTGAAAAGTATTTAACAAACACAATAAATCCACCGCTTTCCATGAATAAAGGATAGCAATTGTGGAGAGCATCATTATGCTGTAGTGCATTTGGCTTAAATTGCACAAATAGGCCTTTCGTTCCAAACTAATCTCTGAATGGAAAAGGCATCCCACACTATTTTTACTTTGAAAATCATCCTGTGGTGTTAAATCTCCACAGCAGAGCATAATTGGATGTGTTTTGACAGTAGCTTTTTATTTACTTTATTCACACCACTTTTAGCTTGTTTACCATCCATATTTTCCATGTTGTGGCTGACAAGTCCAAGACCCACCCGAAGACAGCAGGGGAAAATAACGCTTCAAAGCTGCACAGCGTGTAGCATGTCTCTAACATGAGATCCATCATATGTATTTTTGGCAGACCATGTCCCCATACAATTCCCTGAGAGAATCTAAAAGCAAATGCAGTGGTAGTCTGGATATGTGGAAAAGGAAATACTGGCTTATAAAGGTATTAAATGAAAGCAAGCCAAGCTGGTAGTGCCTTCCTTACGTGTGCAAGGTTGTGCTTTGAAGGTGAGCTCTCGCTCCTGCTGTGTAATGTTTCCCATTGGAAACTCTCTTTTAAATGTTTACCGAGGAGGACTTCTGTGTCCTCTTCAGTAGCCATAGTCTCTATCAAAGTGGGCAGTGCTTCTTGGCAAGGTGCAAGAAACTCTCATATATAATCAATCACCTTCCACATGAGCAAGGTGTTAGCAGCTACCCCAACCCTTTGGAAGAGCAGAAGCTTGGAAGCTGATGATACAGTACTAGAGCTGTCTGAACTAGGATTTCAGGACATTCAGCAGCCAGCCTCCACCGTGACATCTGTCATTTTCTTTGGTTGCCCATAGGCATGAGCGGTGTGTGCCTGTGTCGCCATCCAGCCGCAGTGCAGCGGGCCTGCTGAGCCAAAGCTGCCTCTGCCTGCTGCGGGCAGGTCACTGAGGTGAGCTTGGTGGAGTTTTACTCCACCAAGACTCTCACCAGCCGTGTGGCGTAGGCCTGTCATTTGGTCCGGGTTATATCCTTGGTAATGTTTATGAATTGGGCCTTTTTTCCTTTTCCTCTGCCCCAGATGTCCACTGCTTACAGAGGCCACTGATCAGCATTCAGATGGGCTCCCAGGGAATCCAGGGTGTATGCAGCTCTGGTCTCCAGTGCGTTTTCCACTGGTTCCCCATTTTATTGTCTGGATTAAGGTGCTGTTGCTCCTGATCAACGGGACTTATTGGGCTGTTCAGTGGTCTGTTCTGATGGGAGGGCCAAATGAAAACCCCATCCCATAACACTAGCCAGCAAATGCACCTGAGAGGGAGCTGAAAAGAGGGAAGAAGAGTTTGCAGCCACCTTGGTGGGAAGCCTTAAGGAGCAGGTAAAACCTTTAGGATTTGTGAAGAGCTGAGCAAAGTCCATTCCAGTAAAGATGCTTTGGCTGGATTTGCCATTCTCTGTGTCTCTTGATGCATCAGGAATACCAGGATGGAGGACAGCATAGACTTAACTGCCTTCTTTAGCTTGTATTTCCCCAGAACGAATCCAGGCTGTTGTTTCAGGCTGGTTGAAAATTTATTTATATGCCTCTTACACCTAGGCAATAGGTTAAATGATTTCCGGTGGTGTTGGTTAGAAATACTTTGGGTTTGTAAATCATTGCAGGTTAAAAATAAAACTTAATGCAAAATTACTTGGGGTTTTTCCCCCCCCCTTTTTTTTTTCAATTCTTCTTTCTCAGCAAACATTTGTAATTTCTCAAGGAATTTCACAGTATTCTGTAAATTGCAAACACAAGATTCCCAGGGAATTGCCCAAAGTAAAAAAATTTTAGACTCAAGTTTCCAAGACAAAATGTTCCCTCTTCCTAGGAAAGCAAGAGCATCAGTGCTGGCAGAGCTAGTCCTCTTCCTTTATTTTGAAAAAAAATTAAAAACAACCAAAAAACCAATAAAACACTCCAAAATGAAACACTTAACAAACCTCACCTACTTCACCATGAGTAGATATTAAAATACCCATTCTTCTTCTGCTATTAAGGCCACAGTTCCTTGTGCACTCCTGATCATTGGGATGTGACAAGAATGAGTTATGTGCCTTTTTTCCAAGATGGAAGATTGTTATTTATGATTATTTTCATTTTAAATGTATAGGACAATTACTAGGTTATTCCTCATGCCTAGCTTTCATTATGGTGATTTTATTTCTCATGTTGGCTTTATTTTTATTATTTTTTCCTCCCTTGAAGCAACCACTCAAGCAGTGATCAAATAAATGAAACATAAGTAACATGTGCAGCATAGATGCCAAAGCACAAGTAAAATTATATGCTTACATTACCAATGATTGATTATTTTTGCTTAGATAAAGGAACTGCTTGGTACTTCCTTTTATAAATTCCCAATTGTATATTCTTAATGTTCTTACTTGTTTACTAGCATGAGCAGCTTAACAAACCCCAAATGTTGCATTGCATTCCCTTCCCACCTGTAACAGACAGGACAAGTTATCCTTGGGAGCTGAAGGAGTTCTTTAGTAACTAAAGGACAAAACACCAGCTGGCTCGATTGTTCTTTTTGCAAAACACTGAGGGATGCATTTGTCTTACCTTCCAGTCTTCTGTTGCTACTGACAAAGTGCTCTTTCTGCTGCACTTCATGACTCGCGTTTGCTGTGGTCCTCTGCATACAGTTGTGCTGTGAAGTACCTTTGTAAGAGCTTCTGTCAATAGCGTAACCAACTTGTTGACTTTTAACTCAATAATCCGTGATAGAATCTCATCATACAGCAAGTGAGCACCACCCACTTCTCGTATACTTGCTCATCCCCCTGTCTGCTGGTCTGTAGTGGTTTTAAGTAACAGCTGATGTGTAGCTAAAAGTTCTGACTGTCCTGAATTTCCCTTTGAAATCATGTTATTTATGCAGTAGAAAAGAGTGTAGTTATTTTTTAGCAAACCTGGAACCTGTCAAAATCCACAAACCCAACTTAGCTGTACTGCTTTCTTCGTATCTTTTAACTAGGTGTTTCCAATTACATACCAAAACTGCCACCTTTCTGTATACAATATCTGTCATCCAGGAGGATCAGACATAGATAAGATGATACTTAAACTCTGCATAGGTTTGTTTTCATAGAATCCCAGAACGGTTTGGGTTGGAAGGGACCTTAAAGAGTTTCTAGTTCCAACCCCCCTGCCATGGGCAGGGACACCTTCCACTAGACCAGGTTGCTCAAAGCCTCATCCAGCCTGGCCTTGAACACTTCCAGGGATGGGGCATCCACAGCTTCTCTGGGCAGCCTGTTCCAGTTTTGTTCATCAAAGGAATATACCTGTCTCTTGTGTGCAGTACAGTAAGTATCTTCCAGCAAGGGTTTTGCCATTTTGCAAACAGAATGTGATTACCTGTCTTTTTTGAAACCAAGTAGAGAAATTTAAGGGAGGTGTATCTACCCTTGGTAAAATCACTTTCATCTCATCCTGAGCAAGACCCCTTTGAAAGGCAGAGGCACAAAAACTGCCAAAGGACATGATTTCCTTACTAACTTGAGGTCCAGCTGCTGGGAGTCCCATCTGGCTCCTGATGACACTAGCAGCAGAACTCCTGTCCATTAACAGTGGGAATGGAGTCAGGCTTTCAGAAGTCCAAACATACCTCTGCAGTGATTGTGTCATTGTGCTACAGCCAAATAGAAGTGTTTTAAGAAGAATCTGTGCATGGTACTTTTATCTGTGTAACTATGGTTAAGATCCTTCAAGCAAATAAAACAGTCCATGTCAGTAGGCTGAAAAGCTCTAGAACACTGTCCCGTGGACTTTCCTGAAAGGGCAGGCCACTGCTTCCAAAAACACATCAGTTTCTGGAAATCTGGAAATGAAGTTCTGAACCAAAACATGGGGGGAAAAAAGGTATTACTTGAAATAAATTTCCCCTCACTGTAACAGTGAACACAGAATTCTTAAATACCTTTTCTTCCCCTCTGTAATTCAAAAATTATTCCAAGCATCAGGGCAAGAGCTTGTTTTAAAAGTCTATTATTGTTTTAGTAACAAAGTTAGAATGACAACCAGAACTGTGAGCAAAAATAGATTCAGCTGGCCAAAATCTATCCCCTGAAACCCAGGACGGTTATGTCCACTGCCGATCTCGACTGAACTGAGTAGATCACAGATTCACCCCTTAGTGAGTATGTGACTGAATAAGAGCAATGAGAAGCTTTAGAATGTCTCAGAAGTGCATGTGGAATACAAATGGTTTAGATACTGATTTATTCAACTCTAATCTACTGATATCAATTATACGTAATTCTTCATATCTTATGTTTGAGCCGTTGCGTATCAAGATACAAATCTGATTAATGTACTTGCCGAGTACATGACTTTTGATCTTGTGAATATCCTAGAATACTCTGCCTGTATAACTCATTTTCGTTTCTATGGATATCTTTTGCTAACTCTCTTCTTGACCTGCTTTCTCTTCCTCTTTTATTTCCCCAAGCAGAACTGGTTGGAAATCTTTCAAAATGTAAGTGAAAGCCAAAGATCTTTCTGACATGAAAATGCTATCCATTTCCTCATCAGTTCCACCGTAGATTTTCTTCTGAAGTGCATTGGCATTGCCTTTACTCCCATGGTTTTTTAAGTGATTTCTTTTTTTCACCTTTCTGTGGTCTTCTGTTTTTCTTTGTCATCATCCCTGTTTGCAGTCACTCCCTGTGGAATGTGAACCCCATAGCAGTACACCTTCCCCCAGGACATTGCTTCTGTAATCCCCAGGCCTTTCATTTTATATTTATGCTTTTTTGAAAGGATTGGGATCTGGAGTAAGTCCCATGGGCAGAGCTTTTGAATCCAAATTATAGCTCCTTTATGTAAAAGCAAACACTAGAGACCCAAGAGCTGGGCAAATCAGGGATGTCTTTTTGACACGTGGTTGCTCTGCTCCATGGAACTGAAGCTTTCCTTTTCGCGTTAGTCCCTCAGTACAAACTAACAAATAGGAGTAGATCTAGGAACATGAAAATAGGCATCTTGATTTCAATCCTGTCTGTTAGAAGACTTGTTCACTAATAACCTAGTCGGTAGGAATCCTATTTGAGTTCCCAACTATTCTGTCTTCTGTTTGTTTCCTTGGAGCAAGGATTTATTGTTATTTTTTAATGGAAAATTAGCAGCGTGTGAGTTTTATTGAGCCACATTGCTCTGACTATTAGCTGCCTAGTAAAATCAAGTAACTTTAATTTTATGCTAATTTATGATAATTTTTAACATCTTTAAATGTAAATTTACCCTAAAAATGAAGAATCTGTCACTTAAAATGCATCACATGCTTCCTGATAATGACTGATCTGAAGGAGTTGGTTATAAATTCACCTTACAACTAGTTTAGTATGGATGATTTCTTCTTTTAAGCATTTGGCATCCTCTAATGACAACCCCTGCAGTGGCAAACCATCACAGAGTAAATGCAGCTGGCTTGCTGCACAACCATGAATGACATTGCATTTAGTTATTAATAATTGAAGGAGCTTTGTGTATTCCTTCTGGGTTCTGTATATAATTTATGGATCGTAAAGCTACTCAGAAATCTAGGGGAAAATAATTTTGTTGAGCAGGAGAGGTTGGCAAGAGGCTTTCTTTGTTAATAACTGGGCCTTCTATTGCATACGTTTATTTGAGAAGACTGTTAAATATGAACATTTGGAATGAGTGATTAATTGGCCACCGTCTGGCGTTGCCCTGCCGCTGGTTCACAAAAGCCTGTTACTCATTTCAGCGAGCCCCACAGACAAGAGCATTTAGGTGAATAGCAACTGTGGAATTATATACCACTCCTGTATTTTCCACCTTTCAGCCTTACCTTTCAGAAACGGATAATACTCTGCTGTTTCTTCTGTGAAGAAACCAGACGTGACATCCATTCCCTCAAACCTACGGTTCTTCCCCGTTTTTGGGCGGAAGAGCAGTAACACCCCGTACACATCACTGTGCCGTGCCTCCTAAGGAAAGTCTCTGTTCAGTGCGAGCGTGCACAGCACTGAGGTGGCAGCGCCAAGATGCCAAGGGTAGATTTTAAAGCGGTTTATCGTGTAACGGTTTAAACCGTCTTGCTTGTTTTGGGGGTTTGTTAACTGATAGAGGGGTTCAGGGCTGGTGAAGTGGCGGGTTACCCTGGTGATGTCTCTACTCAATGACGAGCATCTGCTTCTCTCCTTTTTTCAACAGCGGTTAAGCATGGCACAGGGTCAGTCCCTTTCTAAGGGAGCACAAAAGAGGACACAGTTTTTAAATCGATTGTGTTGCAGTAGTTCCCACAGCACCCAGTGCCATAAAACCAAAGGGGAAAATGACAACTTCTAGAGCAAACCCAGGCGCTTTTTTCCTACTATTTGTTTCAAACACATTTTAATACTTTGTTGGCAGCTAGTGGCTTTAGGTTGTATTGCTTTTAAGATTATTCATAAACCGATCCCAGTCAGAAACATGACTGGACTACTACCTGGGTGCTATGCTTAGTTGCTCCTCTGTTGGAAAGAGTCCTGGCTGGAAAGGAGTCGTTGAGAGGAGGCAGAGAAGCACTCCAGTCAGTCACCTTTTTGATAGAATCATAGAATGGTTTGGGTTGGAAGGGACCCCAAAGATCACCTAGTTCCAACCCCCCTGCCATGGGCAGGGACAACTTCCACTAGACCAGGTTGCTCAAAGCCTCATCCAGCCTGGCCTTGAACACTTCCAGGGGTGGGGCATCCACAGCTTCTCTGGGCAACCTGTTCCAGTGCCTCCCCACCCTCTCTGTGAAGAATTTCTTCCTGATATCTAATCTAAACCTCCCTGATTTCAATTTATACCCATTACCCCTTGTCCTATCACTACAGGCTCTTGTAAAAAGTATCATTTTATATGGAAAAGGGGAGAGGATATTTATGCATCTCATCGGAGTTTGCTTCATAACCAGTGGGTAAGATAATGGGGCTTTATTCTTTTTTTTTTTTTGAGTATAAACTGTTAGTTGAAACATAAATCAGGACTGTCAGACATGACGATTTGTGACCATCCCCTCCTTGCTCCTGCCTCTTGTGCCTGTTATGTGTCTTTTGGCTTGTTTATTTGTGTAGTCCAATCCAAAAGCAATTGGAGACGGGCTTTGCAACTAGCCTGCATGGATATTGCTCTGATAGTCACAATTTCAGATTATCTGTCAGTTGGCTTGACTTTACCATCTTTTGCACTGAAGCAGAATCACACCTCTGTACCTTCTAAGACCGCCTCAATTTGTTTTTCCAGGAATGGAATATCAAACTGCCGGATGCGGACGGAAAGCGAGCAGTCCTGTGGCTCTCCAGTTGTTAGCGGCGACCCAAAGGAGGATCACAACTACAGCAGTGCCAAATCTTCCAACCACCGGAGCACATCCCCTGCTAGTGACTCCGTTTCCTCTTCCTCTACTGACGACCAGTATGAATTTGCAACTAAAGGTAGCCAAGACAACAGCGAAGGAAGTGAAGTTAGCTTCCAGAGCCACGAGAGCCATAGTGAAACAGAAGAGGAGGACAAAAAGCAAAACCAGAAGGAGACCAAGGATTCTTTAGCTGACAGTGGGTATGCATCCCAGCACAAGAAAAGGCAACATTTAATGAAGGCGAAAAAAGTACCGAGTGACACACTGCCTCTTAAAAAGAGACGTACAGAAAAGCCCCCTGAAAGTGACGATGAGGAGATGAAAGAAGCAGCAGGATCGCTCCTGCATTTAGCAGGAATTCGATCCTGTTTGAACAACATCACCAATCGGACGGCAAAGGGGCAGAAAGAGCAAAAGGAAACCACAAAAAATTAGAACAAATCAATGATTTGTTTGAACTTACAAAGTTTTGTTTCAGCACGTCAGGTGAATTCTAATGATTTGTGGCAATATCAGCAATTTTTTCCTTTTTTGGTTTTCTTTCTATTTGTTTTCATTTTCTTTCTTTCTTTTTCTTTCTTTTTTTTTTTTTTTGGACCCTTAAGATTTTTATTTTTAAAGGAGATTGAAGCCATAGAACTCATACTGACACTCAGCTAATTTACAAAAGCTTTTCATTACCTGAAGACAAAAAGTTAACAAACAAACAAACAAAAAAAAAACCAAACAAAAGCCAAAACCTCCATTGCTTTCTCCGGCTTGTCAAAAATGCCTGGTTGAACACGCAGTGACATCAACAGTAATGTGATGGGAGTAGAATTGGGCACTTGGAAATCTCTCTTACACTAGAAGAGCTGTGCATAATTTAGTAGTCACTCAGGCTTGGCCCTTAAGAATTTCTTTTAACGGCCTTACGATTGGGTTAGAAGTGAATGTGAATAAAGAGATCTGGGGGAAAGAGGAGGCACGTACTTCTCAACACCAAACCAAGAACCATCTAGTGGCACTTGGATACGCTGTGCCATGGAAGTCTTTGGACAGCCACTGGTGGCAACTGCGCAAGCCGTACCGCACTTTCAGTGCTTCACGTACTACACATGGCTCCTAGTGTGAAGACTTTCAGTTTGGGGAAATTTGAACTGTGTATGCAATGGGTTTCAGTGAAATAATGAGAAGAAATGCCGGGGCAGGGGGGAGGGAGGCACTGTTAGTAGCATCGTTACTCACTGAATTCTGTCTTCTATAGAGAATTAAAAGAATGTTCAAAAAGCCATAAGCCCGAAGATTGGCACTGCGTGCAAAAAGTCATAGCAGTAGGGGAAAACAAGCTGTGTCTTCTAAACTGCCTGAGTGAAAAGCAGTCAAGTCTAAGGAACCACATTAGATGCTAAGGAAGGAAATACGTCAGAATCTTTTTCTGTGGATCAAATCCTTGATCTAACTGGGGAAACAAAGCTACAAAACCTGCCATTAGTAGTATTCTGTGCTTAAAACAGCAACAAAAAGCCAAAAGGAAAGCGTATTGGTGAGCAGTAAGATTCAGAAGTTCAGCACAAGCGCTTCTCCACTGCCCTCAGAAACGGGTGTGCGGTTCCCGTCAGTCAGGATTCGTCTGTGCAAAAATGACAACAGGTTTCCAGGTTCAACCAGCGTAGCCAGCAGAAGAAATCTGATCCACACTGCATGGATTCCTTTGGGGGAGGGGTAGGGCAGGATACAAAAAGCAAACCATTTTTTTTATTCAAAGTTGACAAAGTTCTTGTAAGGTAAATAACGTATTTAGCATGAAGCATGAATTATTTTCATATAAATATAGAAAATAGAGAAAAAGGCTATGCCTCTAATGTTTAAGCCCTTAGGCTTAGAGTTTGTTTTTTTGGGTTTTATTTTTTTGTTTGTTTGTTTTTTTGTTTTTGTTTTGGTTCTTTTGTTGTTGTTGGGGTTTTTTTTGGAGCAGGTGTTTAAGGTTTAACCTTCTTCAGGGACAAGCACTGACTGTTGGGAAACTTACTCTGCAATATTAAAAAATAAAATCTTCATGCTCTGGTAGGGCTTGGATGGTTGAATTATACTGCCTTGTCTGCACATTCAGCCCCCCTCTCCCTACTCCTGTTTAAAAAAAGAAAAAAAAAAAAAAAGAAAAAAGTGAAAGTGTGTCCTTTCTTCCTCTGTACATGTGTAACATGACGCAATAATCTGAGGGCAAATTTAGTAGTGAGTGTGTATGACAGAAGTCAAGAGAATAATGGGAGGTTAATTGAGGAAAACTCTCTGATTTGATTCAGGAACAAGTAGACAAGAAAACAGCTTTGCTAATTTGCCATGAGAAAATGAAGTCAGTAAAGAGCCTTATTGAGGTGTCCGGAGGAAAAACCAGTGTTACAGAGAGTGAGTCAGGTGTAGTGCTACTCCTGGTAGTGATGACTGTTAGATCCCTACAGCAGAGGGAAGCTGTGTAATAAGACAGTCTCTCTCACCTGGATTCAAGAATTTGGCATGAAAAATTTTACGCTTAGAATATCCTAGAAGCAAGATGAAAATCCCAGGAACCAACCACTTAGCAGAACAACATGGTCTGTTCCTTACAAAGAATGTAGGTTTATATTTATCCCTAACAACTGTTTCGGTCAGCAGTTTCACCAAGACGGACGTCGTCGAGGAATGAGTTAGGGAGGGTTTGACTTCCCACTCAGTGGAGTGAACTGACAGATGCGTTTGGTGTGTGTTCATTTAGGAAGTGGACGGGCTGAAGGGCAGGCTGCTCCAGACCTGTTCCTGTGCACCCAAGCATTTTGTCATGTGAAGAATGGGGCCACCCCAGGGGCAGCAGCGAAAAGGTGTTTCTGCTCCCATCTCACCCAGCATGTGCCGGGATCCCAGAGCTGCCCGGCAGCAGCGGGAGCCCAGCGCAACTGCCTGCTGCGCGGATGAGGAAGGAGAGAGCCAAGGATGGTGCAAGGAACAGCTCTGCGATGCATGCCGGGCTGATTCCCAGCGCTAGTTAAGTCAGGAGTACATGGATATTGTACTCCCGTTGGCTGCCTGCAGCCCTTAGGGTAAAGCTGGGGAGAACAGGAAGGACCAGAGGGTAAAGTTAGGGAGAACAGGAAGGACCAGTCCCTAGGCCAGGCAGCACAGAGGTGAATGAGCCATAGTTTTTCCCTTGTGTGATTGGGCTGGGTTAATGAACTTCTTCCCAGATCCACACTCCCTCCAGCCCGAGTCCGCGGGCACAACCCCTGCACAAGAAAACTTGATTCTTCATCTTTTTATGGACTTTGGGGAGCGTAATTTGCAATACAAAATACTGCAGTATCAGTTTACCCCTCCCCTTTCTGCTCATTAATGCGTACTTGTACCAGCTAGGGAGTGGTTCAATACCGATCAAAAAGCGGTGCTGAAAAATCAGAATTTAGTGGCAGAAAATACCCTGAAAGCACAGCTTAGGCATCTCTGTCGTCCAGAGAAAGCGGTGTGTGTGTGTGCCGCTGGCCAGGTTCTGTCTGCAGTCACGGCGCTTGTTCCAGAGCAGCTTCGCTGGCTGCGGTGTGTCAGGGCGGATGAGATCAGCAACTGCTCAGCAACAGGTACCATTAATGTGGATTCTTGGTGGCTAAATATGTAATTACCACTAGTATTACTCGCCTTAGAAAACAGTCATTTGCATAAATATCTAATTAGGCAGGTTATCTTCTTATAGAGAGAGAGAGATATATATATATAATCTATCTGAGACTTTGACAACTCCTTTATATACTTGCTGGTAAACCTAAAATGTTGGCAAGCGTCTGCTTTCATGTACAATTTGTTGCTCCTGGTCGGATCTGCTGAGGAGGTGTTACTCAGTGGGAGTTTACAGAGTTACCTTCAGGAACCAGCAGTTTGGCCGAGGGCTAATGCCATCAGCAGGTTATTTCTGGAGTTTAAAAACGACTTGTCCATCTTGACCTTTGGACTTTCAATGGGAAGAGTGTCACTGGGATTTGTAGGAAGTATTTAGGGGTCACCTTTTCAAACATGTTTGTGCCTGGCTGACACGGGCAGTTTTGTCAGAACTGGTTCTGCTCCATCAGAAAAGTCCTCCTTTTCTGTAAGAATCGAGATTGGTTTTCCAAAAAGAACGCACCGGCAGCTTTTTAATCGAATCATCTCTGCTTTGACCGAATCATGCCAAAACGGAGTAGTAATTGCACTGTCCTGCAAACTCTCGCTTGCCAGACGTGAGGTGGTTTGGTTTTGCTTGTTTGCTTTCCTTACTAAGCCATTTTGGGGTGAGAAGTCTTCGCAGCTCTGACTTTCTACATTCCTCACACTATCAGTATTGCCAAATTAGCGTTTCTCCAAGACAGGTGGGGGCTCGGGGGTCCCGGTAGGTCAGCAAGCGTTCCGTGGTGAGTTTCCCACAGGCGTGAGTTGTAAGGGTCGCTCAGACTTCACGGTGGGTTCCTTTGGAATACGCCTTTTGCAGCAGGAAGCTCCTGCAGGCCAGAGCTAATGCCACCAGCATATTTCACCGGCGTCTGCAGGGGCGTGAAGTCTTGCCGGTCGCGCTTGCATCCCGCTCGCGTGTCCTGCATTCGGGTGCAGATTTTATAAAGGAGCGCAGGTCCCGAACAGCGTTAACGCATCGCCCCGTAGCTGTTTCTGAAAGCAGTCTGGTCTTCTCCTGGCAAAACCAGCAGTAGTTCTGCCCAGATCACAGGGGTTTGCAGCTGAAAAGCCTGGTGTGGGGACGAGGAGGCTTGCTGTGTAGGGCTAGAGAACTGTCCTGTGGCTGTATTCTCTTCCCACCGGCAATTCAGTTGAGGTCCAGATTCTGGCTCCTCTCTTACCAGAAGAAGGGCGTCCCAGAGGAGATGCACCAGCTCCCAGTGTTCGGCTGAGTTACTGTCTGCCTTTGGGAAAGGTGCAGAGGCTCTGGGGGCTGCATTCTTCACTGGAGTGAGGTCGTTCCGTCGGCATGCTTCAGCAGAGAGCGAACCGTCACGTGGCACCAGGGATAAAATGACCAAAACAACACCTTGTCCCGTTTCCTCGGTGGCCGTGGTTGATTTTCACTGCGATTTGGCTCCCAGATCATCTGAAGATGTAGGTAGGTGCAACCTGAGGTTTTCTAGAACCTGCAGGTGTCCGGTCTCCTCTGCAGTCAGCGGAGCTGGAGACACCCAAGTGCTCCTGGGAATCTTCACCGTTTCGCTGTTATTGCCATTTTTCCTTGAATCCGGTCCTAGCCATTTTTTGAAAACGACTTTCCCGTGCTCCAGGTTCAGAATGTAACTATCGAGGGACGGCGTTTCCGGTTTCGGAGGCAGTGCGGTTCACTTCGCTTCGTGGAGAATGCACACCCAGCTCCTTCAGGTGCCTGGCTGCTGCCTGAACAGCTCATTGGCATATTTCACAGGAAATCTTCTGAAACACGTTTTCTTGACTTTGCC